TTTGAAACCTTGGCCACCATCAAGGATAGGTTGGATTCATTTCAAGCGCATGTGGACTATTCTCTTTGCGTTCTTTATGGCGCTCGAGTCGACAATCCAGAGCATCCCCTTAATCCAGAGGTGCTCCAAAAGATCGACATGTTAAAGAATCATATGTTGATGGAGTTGGATCTTTTTCGTTCTCCTCTGTTTGGTGGCACATCTCATTCTACTTTGGCGTCTCCAAACGAAGTTGGGAGACTACCCTTTATCTCTTCTGATTCTTCTTGGGCTTATGGATACCTTTATGTGCTATTCGGGCTCCTGTTTCGGATCAAGCCAAGGTGATCGGGGACTACCCATTGAGTTATGTAATTCTGCTCTCATTCATGTACTTGAAGCTGATGCCCAGAATTTTGGCCCTTTTGCTTGTACTACCTGTATTTTTCCCTGGAAAGATGATGAGGGATATCATATGCACCTTTTCACCAGTGACAGTGAGGAAGTTGGGAGATTACTGAAGTGGTTTCATCATATTCGATTGCTTCTTGAAAAGTGTATCAAGCTCCTATGGAAAAACGAGGGAGGTCGGGATGATCTAGAATTGAAAGCTGCCATTGCTCGAGTGGATTCCAGACGAGCACAAGTGCACTGTGCACTCAGTATCCTTTACAGTGTTCGAGTGATAACTCCTCATAACCCCATTCGGAGTCACCGAGTGAGGTCCACATTGAAAGCCTTGCAGCATGAAGTATGGGAAGACTGGAAATTTATTCATTTTGCCGTCTATGGCTATCGAGCACCTGCAGTTTACTTCAAAAGCTCCAATACAAGTGATGAGCTATTTTCTGATGAGATGAATTTGAATGAGGAAGTCTTACCCTCCTTATCCCTCTACAGTCCTGGTGACCCTTCCTTGAACCTAGTCGAGAAAGAATTGCATTGGTTTCTTCTTCGTGTCCCCATTATGAATTGTTATTGTTATTGGTTGAAGGGGGAGTGGGAAAAGAATTCTTTGGATGATAAGAAAGTGGCCATCATCCATTCTAGATTGCTTTTATTTCGAGCTCACGTTGACTATGCTCTTAGTAAACTTTACCATCTTCGTGCAATGAAATTTCGCAATTACACCACTACCATAGAAGTGGTGAGACAGATTGCAACCAGAAAGCATTCAATGTGGGAGGCGTGGAACCTTATTCATTTTGCCACCTTTGGTGTCGAAGCATCTTCCAGTTTGGGTTCGATTTGCCATAAAACCGATAAATCATGTGCAATTTGCTTTAAGGAACTACAGAAAACGAACATCAATGAAATGGATAAGCTCCGGCTAAAGTGCTGCTCTCATGTGGTTCACTTGGATTGTATAATGAGTTGGTGGCAGCTCAATAATACATGTCCATTGTGCCGTAATTTTGATTGCCGTCCAGTTTTTTATTGATTTATCTCACTTTTTTCCGTCCAGCTTTTTATTAATTTATCTCACTTTTTGGGGACGTTTATATTTTTTTACTATTTCTTAGGGAAAGATTACTGAGGCTGAGAAAGAGACATTTAGTTATGGGTAGGGTATTTGTTGAACATTTTGGATGAAATACTTATAGAACTCTTTATTTTGGTATGTAGTTTGTTGAAATATGAACTCTTTATTTTGGTATGTAGTTCGTTGAAATATATCTAACAAACTATTAAATCTTCTTTTATTTTGTGGGCATTTTGTACTTATTTTCTTAATAGGCTACGGATTGAGAGACTGAAGCTACATGGAAAAATAACTTTTATTATGTGTTTCAATTGAAAATTATACTGCTTTATATACCTTTGTATTTCCAAAAAAAGGAAAAGTATACTTTGGTAAAAGGAGGTTAACCACTCTTAGCCTTGAGATTTAGCAAGCGACTGAGGGTGTGCCGTTGAATCAGGCTCAAAATTTAAATAAAAATTTCTTGAACTTTGTGACATCGCAAGTCATTGGATTTGACATCCAATGGCTAAAGCCGCTTGTGACCGCCAGTCTCATGATATGCAATTCCACTAAAAGAAGTATGTGGGTTATTGTCTACTTTGATCTAAGTAGAAGTTAAAATGGATCAAGCATCTTTACAAGCAGCCAGTTAACACTAGCTCATTTTTTGTTTGAACACTGTCTTCTAATGTCCCTCTCTCTGTCTCTCTCTGCGCGCGCACACACACATGGGAAATAAAAAGAACTGGATCCACCGGAAATAATCTCCTTATAAAGGAAACATAGCTAGACACCAGGGAAGTGAGCTCTATTCTATATTCCATGAACTGATATCTTTCCTTTTTCAAGTTTTCTGTTGCATGTTTTTCTTTCCTTTCATAATTGTAAGATTTAGAAGCTTGTTTTCACTCACCAATCAACCTTATGTCTAATATTAATTGCAGTTTACTTGCACCCCTTTTGAAGATTGGGGTATCTCTATATAAGTGTTTTCATGTTTGGCATGTTAGTTACTTTGTGTCCCAATTGTGAATGAATGAATGGGTTTGATAGTTTATTTTCTTGATATTTTGATGCCACAGTGTTTCACCTCAAAAAGTTTGGGATTTCCCTTTAATTTATCGCAGATCGCATTGTCAGTGAAGATCCCATTGTCGTCGATAAAGTTTGCCTGGTGCCCATCACTTCCATGATTTTTATATTATGGAATGAAGCTTATATGGTTCCTTATTACAAAACAAAAGCAAGATAATGAACTGAAATTTTCAAACTCAACTCGGGCCACGGCCTCAGACCTTGCCCCAGCCAAATAACTTGGCTGAGTCCTGTACATGACAAAAGGAAAAGCTTAATATACATACACACTCACAATAGAAAAATAAATTAACAGAAATCATTAAAGTCTATTAAACCCTAAAAAATATATATAAAAGATGGATTACTGTGAAATTTGATTTATACTTTAAAATATTTAAAAAAAAAAAAAATGGATCATGCAATAATCAATTTCCCATATCAACATAAAAACCATATAAATTATATATGAATTTTTTTAAAACAAAATTAATGGCTTCTAATAATTATTAATGAGGAAACTCCCCTAAGCACCAACATTTTTTTATCTACTTATGGTCTATCAAATGCAAAGTTTCATTGGAAGAAAGGAAAACTATGGATATACGAGAAATAAAAGACTTATTTTTATTTAAGAGAAAAATAAATAAACAACACATTTACACTCAAACTGTTTTATGAATTAAGGAAAAAGTTTATATAAGGATGCTACCTTATAATGTAGAAATACGGATGCCCCTCAAAATTCCATCGGAAAAGGTAGTTTTAATGTTGAAAAACCCTTTGATTGATCATCTCGACATCGAGATGTATGACCATGAAAAATAAAAAGATTTTAAGTTTCCAAAATAGTGCATTTTACAACATATTATTTACATGTCCATTTTCAAGATTTTCATATGTTTTTAGATCTTCTTAATTTTGACTATTTTTAAAATTTAAAATTTTATAATTAGATATAAGATCTAATTGATTTTGACCATTTTTAAAATTTAAAATTTTATAATTAGATATAAAAATAGATTTTGAGATAATCTTAAAAACATTTTACATCAAAATTATATATCATAATAAAATTTGAAGATGCACCTTACCTTTACACCTACAGATGCATCCGTATGCAAACTGTACCCATTTTGATAACTTTTTCCAAATTAAATCGCCCGAGTCAAAAAGATGTGACTATCCTAAGTTTTTCAATAAAAAATAAATTCCAGGCACTCCTGGAATAGGGGCAGTTTCGATGTTTTCAAATGGACCGAGAAATCGACTATTTAATACGAGCGCGTATGCTGTACTCATACAATAGCATATTTTTCATCTACTCGCTCACACTAAAGACCTACTTGGAAGTATTGTTTCTGTAACTTTGGAAACCATTTAAGAATCAATAAATAATTATTTTCAAAAAAAAGAATTTAATTTTTGGATTTGTTAACACTTATATATCACCCTTGAAATTTTGGACACTATTTTGTTTTTTAGAACATAAAATGTTCAATTATGAATTTTTTTTTTCCTAAAATTAGTGGGTTGAAGAGGTGACATCCCAAAATTTGGGATCCTAAAATTACTCATACATTTAGTTTTTACTCGATGGAGTAAATGCACAGTATACTTCCGATGGGAGTATAGAATTTCTAGCAATGTGTGATGCGGTAAGCTTCTCAACACTTTAATGTGTATTTTTGTTGGGCAATTTGAAATTTATACATGGGTATTTGAAATGAAAAAGTATAGAAAATGTGCTCACATTAATCTTGACCATTGGATGTGTAATTGCATGGCAGCAAATATTACATTGACTAAGCTCAAACTTCAAAAGAACTTTTCTCAAAATTTGTAACGCATCCAAGCTATCAAATTTCACATCAAATGGTTGCAAGGAATTGTGAACACCTTGCATCAAAGATAAATCGTCTCATTGTATACAATCCCATTTGAAAAAAATTTCCCATAATGATTGAAGGACAATTTGAAATTAGATCCAAAGAATGGTAAGCTATTTGAAATTAGATTAAAAAAAAAGGCCCAGTGACATGTGAAATACTGCAATTCTTATATGTGATTTGATACTATGAACTTATATGTAATTTGATAAATTTCTCTAAAATAATAAAGGTAGTACCGTAGTGAATTGATTTTAAAAATTAGGCACTTTGTTAGAAGTTAACTGATTTAAGCACCACCATCACATCTGATTTTCTTAGGATTTATTTTCTCTATTTTAAAGGAAAGCTCGTTTACTCAATAACAAACTGAAATGCGTATTTAGTCGCAATGAAAATTGAAAATCTTATCTTATTCAATTGAATTGCGGCTAAATCATATGAAGATGAAATCTTAATAAACTGAATTGCTGGTAATTCTTACAATCGGTTTGTATAAAAAACTTGCCTCCGCACCCGGCCGAGGCAGGCTTACCCAGTGGAGTCCGAGTCAACTCGGCAAGTTTTCGAACACTCTCTGATACATTAGAACATGCTCAATAGACTGACGCTCTTAATTTCCATTAATCTTTCTTCGAATGGGACTAACTTACAATTGAAGTACAATGACTGAGAAGTGTATGAAAAGAAATACAAAGAGAATAAACTAAACAGAGCAACTGGTTCTGCTACAAACCAACAGTACAACTAAGAGACAGAAACGAAGAACCTATACTGTTGTAGACACCAAGAAAGCAAGAACAAATAAGAGCGAAGAAGAAGAAGAAAGAGCGAGAGAATCAATCTGTTACATGGAGCTTTACATGTTCCAATAGCCCCTCCCACTTGTAGCAGAGGGAGATCTTGTGTTCTCAAACCAGGTCCAGTATGTTGGATTGCACTGTGCAGGTGAAGCTGGCACTGAGTGAGGGGTAAATGGACCTGCTAATCCATTCCAAAAGCTCAAGCACTGCAACAAAACATTCCCCAATTTTCCCTCACTAATCCCCTCATAAACCTTTTCAATCTCTTCACCAGGACTAACCTTCTTAGTCCCACGGAGAAGAGCAGTTCCCATCTCACTCCTCACAAATTTGTAAACAGGATAAGTCCGGCACCTCTTAATCCGGTTCGGGACTGGAAAATCCCCTGCATCGAATCTCTCTCTGGCCTTTGGTATCTCCTCTGTGAGTCTGGCCTTTAGTTCTTCTTGAAAGACGCCAATTCTCTTAAATATGGAGAACCCATCACCTTCTTTTTCACTTTTGAGAGATTTCTCGACCAAGACTTCGCGAAGCTGGAGCAAAAGAGCATAGGAAGGGTTTGCCGGGTCGTCTAAGTAAGAGAAAACCGGCTGGTGATCAACCACTTGTAGAAGCTCCTTCTCGTCAAATCTCGTATCCAACAGAGACCCACTGTCCTCTTCCATGTACAAAGTCTTCCTAGCGGTTTGCATGACCACATGCTTCACAATTTCTCTCATGTTTTCCTCCAAATGCCTGAGATCAACAGCTTGGCAAAGAGCGACCAAGAAAGTTGCAGACATGAGCTTGAGTATCTCTATGGCCTCGGCACTCTTTCGAGCCGATATGAGGCCCAAAGAGTTCACATCTTGGTTATGCTGCTCAGCACTCTGGACATGGGTGGTGACTGGGTTTGCCAGATATTGAAGCTCTGATGTGTAAGCAGCCATGGCTATCTCTGCTCCTTTCATGCCATAATCAAGACTTGGGTTTGGCCCGCCGCTCAAATGCGAGGGCAACCCATTGTTATAATAATCACAAACTAATTCAGAGAATTGAGCAAACATGAGCTTACCAATTGCAGCAATGGCAATCCTCAGATTATCCATGGATACCCCAATTGGGGTCCCCTGAAAGTTTCCTCCATGGAGAGCCATGTCTCTAGCTACATCGATCAATGGGTTATCATTCACCGAGTTTATTTCCCTCTCTATGGAGTGCGTAGCCATTCGAATCACTTCGATCTGAGGGCCAAGCCATTGGGGTGAAGTCCTCAGAGCGTAGCGATCTTGTTTAGGCTTAGAGAGCGGGTCCTTCTTGTGCTTGATCTTAGCTTCATTCATGTAATCACTCTGATCAAGAAGAAACTCCATTACAGCAGCAGCTTCAATCTGGCCTGGATGGTGCTTCAATTGATGCGTGAGAGGGTCAGTGAACTCAGGCTTCCCCTGCATAACCTCACAGAAGAGCGCAGAGAGAACCTCAGCCAAAAGAGCGAGCAAATTCGCGTCAAAACAAACCGAAGAAGCCACTGCTGCACCCACAGCTGTGCCATTAACAAGCGCGAGCCCTTCTTTGGCCTGCAAGTCAAATGGGTTTTCGATCCCCGCCCTCCTCAACGCCTCCAAAGCTGCTATCTCCTCTCCACCTTCTGTCAAAACTCGAGAATTCGGTCGGTTAGTGAGAAGGCCTGCGATGTAGGAGAGAGGGACAAGGTCACCAGAGGCCGTAATAGTCCCACGAAGGGGAATTTTGGGAATGAGATTGAGGCTTGTGAGCTTAGCCATGGCTTCGAGGATCTCCCACCGGATACCCGAATACCCTTGCATGAGCGTATTGGTCCTAACCGCCATGGCCGCTCTCGCATAGGTCACAGATAAATGCTCTTTTCCCATAACCCCCACATTGAGGAAGCGAATGAGCTCGGCCTGGAGCTCAGTGGTCTTATTGGTTCGGCTATGAGAGGTGGCACCAAAGCCACTGGTGACACCATTGATGTGGGTGCCCCTCGCTATATTTTCGCGAACCCAGTTGGAGCTCTCGGCCACCCTGGCTCTAGCAGTGGGCTCGTCAAGGTGGACCGAGATGTTGGCTCGGCGGGTGATGGCAGTTACTTGGGCCACAGTAAGGGAGGTTCCTTGGAGGGTCACAGTGTGGGCTTGGTTGAATTGGGAGATCATTTCAGAGACTTCATGAAAATGGCTGGTTTCCAAGGCTTCAGAGGCCTTTTTCCAGTGAGGAGGTGGTGTTACATTGGAATGGAGGCCATTTGAGCAGATGATTGATGTGGTTTTCATGGGTAGAAGAAGAGATGGAGGCCTGCATGACTCAGCAGTCTCAGCCATTTTAGAGGAATAGAGATGGAAACACTTACAGTTAATGAGCTAGAAAGTGAGTGAGAGAGATGTCTTGGAGATGGTTGGCAGGCACACTTCAAAGAAAGGGGAGGACTCGACTCACGAGTATTCCTTGAAATGAATTTAGAGAGAGAGAGAGAGAGACTGGTAAGATGAAGGGGTTGTCTTTTGGAGATGGTTGGCAATCTTGAAAGAAAGGGCAGCAGTATTAATTTAAATTCAACTTAGAGAGAGAGAGACACTGGTAAGATGAAGGGGTCGTCTTTTGGAGATGGTTGGCAATCTTGAAAGAAAGGGCAGCAGTATTAATTTAAATTGAATTTAGAGAGAGAGAGAGAAGGGACATGAGTATTTTAGAGAGAGAGAGAGAAGGGACATGAGTATTTTAGAGAGAGAGTGCATAATTTGTAGAGAGATGAAGTGAAGTTTGCACTGAATATTTTTGGGGGTTGAGGGAGGGTTTTATAAAGGGGAGTTGGTGGGGAAGCCAGATCAAGAGACGTGCTCTGTTTTGTAGAGAGAGAGTCTTTTTAGAGAGAGAGAGTGAGAGTGAGAGTGAGGGGTTGGTGAGTTTTTGCTTGGAAGGCACAGGGCAGGTGAAAATGAAGTGATGCTGAATCGGTTATATTGTGAAAATTAAGTGAGGTTGAATCAGTCTTAATTTAAAAAGGCCGAGCTAAAAATCGATAAAAAAACCGGATCGTCAAAACATAAGGTTAGTTATAAAATTGTGAATGTTTTCGATTTGGTTAAAAAATATGTACTGAAAAAATTGGATGTATATAAATGGCACAATATAGGATTATGATTTGCAGCTATTCTATAGATATGTTAAAGTTATTAAACAATACTTTTATAATCTAACTAGTATTAGTAAAGTAATACTTGACAATTTTGTGTTGAATTTTTCAATAAATCTATCAACAATGCTTACTTTGTTGTCATAGCACAAAACATAAAGTAAATTCATTAGGAGCATAGATAAAGCAACAACAACAATATTAAACACAAGAACTAATTAATAAATAACAAGAATTGTGAACTAAGGTATATGATTATTTTTCAAAAAAACAAAAACAAAAAATAGCCCTAAATATAGGATTCCAGTTAATTAAAAGAAAATAGAAAAATTCATATATATAAAATAGGAGTCCATCTAAAATATTAAGTTATATACAAAAATAAAATAAAATAAAAAATTAATCAAACTTCTCTGTGCATTAAAAAAAAAAGCAACAACAAAATGTTTAAGCAAATTTGAATCTCACATTGAATTTCTAACTACCTAAATCGTTAGTATCATCGAATCTCTCGCTCGCTCTTTATAAGATTACTATAGGTGTAAAAAAAAAAAAGATTTTTCATTGGGTTACTCTTTTTCGAATTTGAATACTTCTTTTCGGGAAAAATAATGCTTGTATTTTTTCGTACACTTTTTTTTTTAAGAAATTCAATGGTGAAATTTTTTATAGAATCTTTTGTTAAATCTTGATTTTGAATTTACTCTCCCTATTAACGTACTTAATTAAAAGTGAAATTTAATAATATTATTTAAGAAAGAAATAAAAGTCATAGGAAAGAAGTTCTTTTAAAGATATGTAAAATAAATATTTGTATCGGTTCTACTAAAAAAGCATGTGTTTTTTTTAAGATCTTTTGAAAAAGTCTGACCTCTCAACAGATTTAAAAAAATGAGAGCTTGTGGAAAAAATCAATCGTGATTTAAACGGAGACTTACTGACTATGACCCTTCCTCCGGTGAGTTTTTTGACCGGGGAACGAGGAAAATGGATGCTGTTTTGTTCTCGCATTTTAACAAGGCGAAAAGATTATATGGTCCGGGCGGGAGCATATCTCCATGACCTCCAAACTTTGGGGTATAACCTTCAATGGATTTATCTTCAATAGGAGAAAAGAATGCATATGCGCTCTATACTGTATGTTAAAGCGAGACTATATTTCCATGACATACGAACCTTCGTAACCTTGAATTAATTTCAATATATATATATATATATATATATATATATATTATTTTCTCCATTTAACTCCAAAGTTCAGAATTTATGATAAGATTTATCGAAATTTTATGCCGACTACCCTTCTGAACACACTAAATCAATCTCTCTCTCGTTGGGAGAACCATGAACCACGCAAATCTCTTTTGTATCTCTCTCTTTCTGTTTGCCCCTCTCCCTTTCTCTATCATGTTATTCGTTTTGTTTGAAAGCACCATGTCTTTCTTTTTCATGTTACTCGTTTTGTTTGAAAGCACCATGTCAAAATATGCGAAATTGTGGGGATATTTGTGTTAAATCATAGGATTATGAAGCAACAATTGTTGCTTCAGCCGGTCTAATCCAAAGCAAAATCTAAGTTTGATCATGAACGGTTGAAATCAATATTCAATGGACACGTTTTTTATGAGTTCATATAGAAATGAGCTACCTTTTAAAAATCTATTTTACTTAATTTTTAAGGACATGCAATCTCTAACATGGTGATCATGAATATGAAAAAAAATATAAATTTAAAATTTTTGAAATAATAATTCTATTAGAAAAACATTTGTACCGTTAGTTTCAATTGTTTTAGATGGATTACCTATTTGCATCCATCTGAAATTTAATTATCTTGTATACCTGGTCATAAACACATTTGAAAAAGGGTATGGTTTGCATAAGGTTGCAACCTTAAACCATCAAATTAAGGTACATCTCCAAACTTTGTCATGAGATGAAATTTTGTTTTCGAAAATTTTAGGATAGTGCCAGAATCTATTTTATTTTAATTATAAAATTTTTAACTAAAGAATACTTCAAATCAAGCCCATCTATAAATGAATGAAAATCTTGAAATTGACAGTTCAGATAATGTGGTACAAGATGTACTATTTTTAAGACTTAAAAAATCACATACTCCATGTCCATGTTGTCAAATTCGCTTCAGAGTCTATTTTGGTTTGGTCTGAAAAATGAAGCAATTCGATGCTTCGATTGATTCAAGGGAAAACTTTGGTTTTTTATAATAAAAAATTTTAAAATAAAAATATATTTTATAAGAGAAAATATCTCCATAACACTTATTTTTAGGTTTCATTTTACAATAGACCCAAGGTTTTAAAAGATATCTTGAGGCATAAAAATTATAGATTTTATTTCTTCTAACCCCCTAAATTAATTTAAACATGTGTTTTTAGGCCAAACAAATCTAAAAATACATGCTATTTTTAAAAGCCATCCTCCCAAATTTCTCTCTCCCTACACCCCTTCTCTCTTTCTTCGTCTTTCCTATCTCTCTTCTCTCACTCTCTCTCCTCCCACTCTCTCTCTCTTCACATTTCCACAAAGAGTGAAAGGCATAAGAAGACAAAGAAATAGAGAAGTTTGAGGTATATAAGTGAAAAGAAAAAAAGGATTGGGTTGGATTTCACAGAGGTGAGAGGTTATCGGGACGAGAGAGGTGTTTAGAGAAATACCGGAGGAGAGTTATCGGGATGAAAGAAGTGTTTGGAGAAATACCAGAGGAGAGACGGTGAGAGACGTAGGAAAAGAGAGAGAAATTTGGCGTATATAAGTGAAGAGAGAAAGAGCAAGTTTTTTTTACATTTGTTTAGGTTAACAAATAGGTTTAAAGTATCCCGGGGTAGAAGATATCTTTTGAAACATTGAGTTTATCAAGAAATGAAACTTAAACATAGGGGATATGGAGATATTTCTTTTTTTATAACCCATAACATGATCTTTTTAACACTTAGATCTTGCCCTTGAAAAATTGGATGGTTTATGTTCTTGAAGAGGTGACATCCCCAAAATTTGGGATCCTAACTCCTACATTTAGTTTTTATTGTATGGAGTAAATGCATTGAGTATAGAATTTCTGGCAATGTGTGAGAACTGATTTGGACTGTTAGTTTCCATTGTTTTTAGGTGGAACACCGACTTGCATCCATCTTTAAGATTTGGACTGTTACTTTTTCTTGAGAACTGATTTGGACTATAACTCTTTCTTGATCGCATATATAGAAATGCAGTGCAACCCGCATGAAACAATTTCCCTTTTGTGGACTATTTGAAATTAGATCCAAGGAATGATAAGCTAGAAATTAGATTAAAAACAAGGGCCCAGTGAGATGTGAAATACTGTAATTCTTATATGTGTTGTTTTTTTTTTGGGTAGAGGGAAAATGCCTTCTACCTGTTTTTTATTAATAAAAGATAGAAAAAATTATATGGTACTCTCTTATAACTTTACAATAGGATATTTGCACAACATCATGAAGTAAAGGAAAGTTAAAAAATTTTGGAGGCCTAGAGCGCCAAATGGTGGCCTACGTAAAAACTGTAGCTTTTTGGCAAGAACATCAGTGGCAATAGTGCCTCACAGTAAACATGGCAAATGGACCATGAATGATTCTTAAGTCTAGAGTTGCAATTAACAGCTATGGTATGAAGAGCCCATGGAGCTATACTCCTAACTTGTATGACCTAGACAATGAAGGAATATTCACTCTCAAATTGTAGGGAGAAGCATTCCATTTGAGTGCCTAAGTCAACAACCTCTTGTAAACCTCAAAATTCTGCATAATTATTGGAAGCAATTTCAAGAACTAAAAATGCGGCAACAAAAAATCCATTTCTTGTCTCAAGGTGCCCTTTCAACCAGCTCAACCTAGATTATGAATAGAAGACCCATCAATATTTAGTTTAAATAATTGTGAATGTAGAAATCCCATGCCATTGTTATGGGTAACTTGATCTTTTGTTGCTACAACGTTACTCGTAAATGCTCAGTAATTCCATTTTCTAAGATGTGGGAAATCCATGCATTAGCATCTGCCGAATCACAAACATGGCTGGTGATCCTACGAATCAGCTTCTCAAGAGTGAGTGTCCTTTCTTGAAACATATGGTGGTTTCGCTCCTACCAAATCTTCCATATAGATTCGAAGAAGAGAGAATGCCAAATTTTGAACACTCTATAATGAAGCGTTTTCTACATCGCCATACTATTGGCCTTCAAACCCCTTTACGAAAAAACACAATGAAACAAAATATGACAAATATTATCATCATTAATTATGCAAATCGCATCCAAGATATTAAAATTTTTTATTTTTATTTTTATATTTATTATTGGAACTGAGTTTTAGAGATATTCATATAGAGGCTAAAAAGATAATGATGGAAGGGGGCTCAACTTTAGCATCTGAGTTTTATGGGCTTGGATAGATTTCTTAGTTCGTGGGATTCCATGATCTTATTTTGGTAGGATTGTTAGATAATTAGAAAGATAATAATGGGTGAGGTTGATGACATGTGGGGTAGAGAAATTTCTAATTTGGGTGATCTAGAGAGATTTATGTGAGATATGGATGGGGA